TTGAATAAGGACATCCTTAAGTCAAACTCTGTAAATGTTTTTGTTCTCTCTTACTTTTTTAAATTAGCCTGTCTGGATGTCTTAAAGTCTTCTTACACAAGACTATTACTTATTCCAACACAAGTGCCTGTGAAATCACATTAGGCCTGCAAACCACTGATCAGATGTGATGAATTGATTTCCTTGGCACTAAGTGCATACCGAGAAGTGCATTCAGTAAGCCAAATTAATTGAACAGTGCACTAAAACATATGGTTACTCTAATTAATAAGTGACATGAAGCTGCCAATAACCAGAAGATGCCCATTTAACAGTATAACAATTTAGAAGGCAAACCTATATATAGTGAAAGTAAAGTTGTGTCCTCCATAATTTGTGCTTATAAATTAATGAAAGTCTTTAGTTTTTTAAAAATAGCAAAAAGACAGTTTGCATGCTGTAACCTTAATAAAAACAATGTTGTGTTTCCCTCATGATTATTTGAAAATACTGTTTTGTATGGGGGGATCTATGGAGAAACATTTTTCCATGGGCAGGCAAATGGACATTTTGCCGAAAGGATTTATTGACTACCTTCTATATATTGCTTCTCAACGTGTTTGCAAAATAATATCAATAGACTCCAGTTAAAAGATTTTTTTTCCCTCATGTTGCTGGTAAAAAATGTCTGCCAATGACTGCATCTTGGAACAAATGATTTAAGCCTTGACATTTCCACCATGACGCAAAGAAAGAATCCCATCATAGTTAACTTCTTAGTTGCAGTTGGGTAATGGCAATCAAACTATACACTAGATGGTATTTTACCCCCTCTAACCTGCATTCTGTTTCCCGATAGTCCCTGCAAATTGTTTTAGGGAGTACCCAGATCGAGGCACTTTTATTCACATTTTTTGAAGCTGTAAAGTATTATGCCCTTTGCAGCAACAGGCTGTTCGTAAAACAGCCCAAATTATAGGATCTCAACTTACCTTGATAATGCCAATGTGCCTTTTGTTTGCATTCATACCAGATGTGTCTTCTCCCTGTGAAAGGTTACCACACTCTCTTTTTAGTGCTATTCGGTGGGCTGTTGCAATTAATTGGCGCTCTAAATCTGTAACATGGCCCCAAGCAATAGCGTGTATGGAATCCATTTCAAACTATGGCTAGTATATACCACACAATTTATGACACCATGCCAGTTTTTGAAAGGAATGGGATTATTGGACCTCTTATTGAGGTACTCTTGTATACTTTTCATTTGTCTTTGGGTCCCTGTCTAAATTTTACTTTATTTTCCTGGTGAGTTTACTTTGTCCTATCTACCCTAAAGATTCGCTGATAGTTGGATATGCTATTAGCGAATTATTTCTTACATTTTGCCTTTATGTTATGCCATTTGTTTGTGATACATAGAACATGTGGTACTTAGTTGATTTATATTGGTCATGTAGTAGCCAATATGCAAGTCTGGTCTCCTGATGCGTTTTGTTTTTGCAGTTACATTGTATGTATGATGGCATGTCTTGCCAATTTTTAATTCCACTAATCGGCTTATTATTAACTTCTAAGCCAATTTAAAGTAAATTCCCTGTCTAACAGCACATACCACAAGATTATAATTATACACGATTCATATAGTGCTAACAGTTTATGCAGGACAAGGAGACTGGACAGTTATAATACAATTTGATACAAGAGGAGGCCCTGCTTAAGGGAGCTTACAATCTAAAAGGAATAGGCAAGTGGTACAATAGGTAATAACTGGGAGGGATGTGCTGATGGAGAAAGCAGAAGTACAGTTTTTAGATAGGAGGCAGAATAGGCTTTCCTGGAGCGATGAATTTTCACAGATTGTCTAAAGGTAGGCAGAGTGGGATTTGCCAACTAACTGCATTTGTAGACAGAAAACTCTCCTTTGTGCCTCTATGAAGCACATTTAATTTGTTGCTAGGGGTCTGGCATTCCTAACTTCAGGATTAAGCCATGACAACTGCCTATTCCCCTGATGGGACTCAGACCTCAATGTAGAATCCAAATCAAGTAAGAACATTCCTAAAAGGAAATTCCTAAAGGGTGTCCAAGACAGGTAGACAGGTACATGATTCTCTAGCACGCACCACATTTGGAAGTGTACTATGGCCTCAGTGCAACTGTGCTACTTCCCCGCCACTGAATCTTTTGCATACCAAAGTGGCAGGGAATTTTGTATGTAGGGGGTCGAGCCTGATGATAATTTGCAGGTACTAGTTCCTCTTCAGGTCTACTCCCCTTGTGATTGACAGCAGGCAGTAGGCGGATCCTTAGTCAACAGAGAGTCTGCTATTAGCTATATAATCCACCCACTATTACATGTAGAGAGCTGACTTGATGGGTAACTAATGTCTCAGCTTCACTATCAGGTTCTGCCCAATGCAGCGTCACTGGTTGCTGGGAGACCATCAGCTGTGATGCCAACAGTTCCTTTAACAACCAGCAACAAGGAGAGGGGAACAGAGGCAAATATGCCACTCTGCTAGACTGCATACAGGGACAGGCACTCTTCCTGTTTCTGTATGCCAACTTAAAGTAGGTCCTAATTATCTCCCATTTCATTTTCTATGAACTGGAGGTAATTATTTTATATGGTGCATTGATTGTGTGTCACTTTGTAAAAGTGGCACTATAAAGAACTACCTGGATTTGCCACATGTGTTGGTAAAGTTACTGAAATGAGCAGTAGGGATTTTTAAACAAGTAGCAGGCCATAGCTCCAGAAAAGTATTGGCAGGGATTTATTGAATTCCTCCAAATATCTTTTCTTTTATTCAGTTGTAAATTAAATCTTCTGTTTATATAAACAAAAAATGGACATAGACTATATTATTCTATGTAACCTGTTTCTGGATTTTAACGTTTTTTTAAAAATAACACTTCTATTTTAATCCTAAGACCCTCCAAATTTAGCAACTATTTTGAAAGTTACCAGTACACGCATTGCAATCTATAGAGAAGTAGGTTAGTATTTTTAACCTAGTTTTTTTTTGCACATACATAGTTGTCCTGGGACAGGGTTTAAATACTGTATAACTCAGCTTATACTTAGTTACTGGTGAAATTAAATATAACTCTGTGTCCATGTATTATGTGTAAATTGTATTACAATGAAAGAGGAGAACAAGAACTGTAAAAATCATTAGATGAATAATACGAACAAGGAATTTTAACAGTGAAGGTCCTCTGAGAATGCATGTTCTATCTGTGCTTGCCTTTGGGTAACTGCATGACTGAGTGGCGGGTGATCTTGCCCTTCTAAATCTCCATACCTGCCATTGGCACACTTGGAGGCATTGAAAAATAAAAGAGAATTTGTTAAAGACTGACATTTTGTATGAAACATGGTATCACTCTAAATTCTATAGAGTATTGTAAAGAAATAAAACAAATCTAGTGCAGCAGGTAAACAATATTTTTCCCTTTTTAAAAGGATTTGATTTACCTTCTTAGCTTAAAAAAATAGCATACCCAAATGAGGGATAACATGATTTAAAGGAATTTCTAAAGATAGCAATTTGGTAGCTGACATTGCAGGCATTTTTAAAATGTTTATGCTTCATGGCTATCGTGGGATCTTGGCTTTACTACCTACAGAGTCACTGACCCAAAACAAGCATGCAGCAAACAAAACCTAAACTATATGTCCATGTGCAGCACACGCGTTCTTTGTCAGTGATTCACTAGGTTGTGTTGCAAGAATTCATAATTTAGCACCTATTAAAAACATGTTAGCAAGTTGGCTGGTTCTCCTTACAGTAAATACATATTTATTCAAAAATAAATAAGGTAGAATCATCCTATCCTGAGGTATCTATGGCTTTATGGGCACCATCCTTTACTTGCATATCCACAGAACACCTCCCATGGTTGGGGGCCATAAAATTGGGACTTTGCATCTGCCACTAAGAGACTATATACATTGATTTAAAAAGCAATACATTCTTTGTTATACAATTAAAAAGCAGAGGAAACACAAATGAGTTGGAAACACATACAATATAATCATGTGTAATCAAAAAAGGATGTAAGTTCATTAAGTATAAGCTATTCTCTCCAATATGATGTCTAGAATCGATGCGTTTCTCAAAAAAGTTGCTTCTTCAAGATGCACGCCTATTGCATATGTGTTCTATGGATATATATCCATTTACTTTACTTTTTTTGCATACCTCAGATAAGTTGTTGTTACACAGGAAGGAACTTACAGACACCTGATAAATGTTGTGTTATTGCCACGAATAAAATGTAGAGATTAGCCTCTTTTGGTCATTAGTGCAAAATAAAAAGAATAATGAACTGTTTTCTCTAATAACACCTCAGATGAGTACCCTAAAGTGTAGATAAAGCCATCTTTTTATTTTGCATTAAGTAGGACATGGTTAGGACCCCTGTCAATTTTAGTTTACTATCTGTATCCCACAAGGAGATTTCCTAGAGACACAACAGAAAGTAAGAGGAGATCTCTCTAAAGATATCCAATTTTAGGTAGTTGTCACCAGAATAGCTGTCTCCTTTAGAAGATTCCTCCTTATGTCCGCTTCCTATGACAACTCACAAAACATATGATTTCCTGTCCTTTTTGTACCATAGACAATGGTCTCTAGAACCAATAGTGAGAGAAATCTTCCCAGTGAGGATACAGTAGTTTTAACCTTTACAGTCTATCTAAAGCTAGAAAAAAATTGCCTTTACATACACTTCAGCAGATCTTTATATTTTATTTGGTTAGATTTAGTTTTGTAATCTGTAAATGTATATTTGTATCATGTTAGTTGCCTATAATATATTTCTTTTATGTCCATCCTAGTGCAAAAGGAGTTGAGGATTCATTAATGTCCAACTTGACCCAATCAGGAACTCAAAAGAAGTTGTATGATGCATATGTGTTATGAGCAAAAGCTGCAAGAGATGAATTAAACATGTTCATCTTTACTGAGAAAAGTTATCATGACTTTGACCCTCATATTACACTATTTTGTTTACAGGTATGCAATGAGACTGAAGAATTTCACAGGCTCAGCTGCCAATGAAGGAGAGAAAAAAGCTAGCAGTATTATGGTGAGTCCACAGAGACAGTGTCAAAGAAGCTAAAATCCACTCGAAGACTTTAAAACTACAGAAACGCATAAGCGGCTTACATAAGATCATTATTCTTGTTTTCCATTAAACTATTAAAGGATAACTAATGGCTTCTTTTAGCAGCTGACTAAACATTTATTCTTCCGATTCATATTGTTATCAAGATGGCATTTTAATGTCTTTTCCATTTTGATTTCATTTACTCATGCGTTCCACTTTTTTCTGTTGTGAGAGAATTTTTAAGAAGCCGATTTCTGCACAGTTTATAGATTTTGTAAAATGATGAAATTAACATAATCCTTTACTAATTACTACAGTTACCGATGCCTATCTTTGCTCTACTTGAGAATGTTTAAGTTAAAGAAGGACCATGCTATGAAATATTCCAGATCGCTCATGGAGTATTTTAAGGTAAATATTGTGTAATATGTTTCTGAGAAGGAAATAACTAATGTAGATATTTACTATTTATGGTGAAGCATTTAAAACTCATCTCTAATCAAAAAAATTTAAATTTTTACATTTGCATGAGGTGTCACGTCACCATTGCTGTCTGTGTTCCTGTGGTGAAGATTTCACCTATATATTTGATGGGTGTCAGAGAAGTAACAGAGGAGAAATTTACCCAAGGAAAACATGAACACATTTTTTTTGTATAGTAGGGGAGGGTCAGGACCACTATTATTCTTTATTGATTGTTGTTTGCATCTCCATTGTTCTTCATTCCTTTCCTGTCTAGGCAACAGGTGTCAGAAAAAAAGGTAAAAAGAAATCTTCCCAACAGGAACAAAAAAAAAACACTTAAAACCTAACACAGGTTAAATCCTTACACCCTTTATACAATTCAAAATGAAGGTTTGGCAGAAAATGGGCTTAAAAGTGATTTGGTATTAGTCGCAAGATAGCAGATGTTGGTAGAGGAGAAATCTGTTTATTATTAAGATATGTGTTTTAAGACTGATACATAATGCATCATCTTGGTCTCATACTGGTCTCATCTTGTATAAATTCTACCTCATCTTGTTTTCATTTACTATTACAGAGTTTGGAAACATTTTAGGAGAGTTAAATTCTGCAGGCAAAAAACTGAAAAATAGCTTCTCAGACCGTCAGGGCCAATCATACACAACATTTTCATAACCTTCTCTCAACTGCAGTATTTGAGCTACCACAAAGTGTTCGGTTCATCATTTAAACATTGTTGAATAACAGTTTCCATCACCTGGAAAATGTTATTTGTTCTAGGATGCATCAAGACAATCATATATGACTGGTGGTTTTGAGAGTAATATGCACACAAACATTAATCTGAGTGCTTCTCCTAGTGTAACTCTGTAAAGTATTTCTTAAGAATGAGTTAAAAGAGAGACAGATTCTTCAGAAAGAAGTCTATCACCTAGCTGTTGGCTGATAACATTGCAAGTAGGATAATTCTTTGAATTATCATTACAAACCTTAACAATTTGTGAACAAAGTTAACAATTTAAGCAAATCTAGATGAGTGCAGGTTATCCAACCATATTATTTGGCCCAGCTATTAGGTGAAAATGAAAAATGCCAGATTATAGCATAATGAACATGAATACTTACTGTATTCCCGTATATGTCATTGTGAAGGTCTTAAGTGCTTTGCAGAGTATATAAACAATTTACTTCAGTCTTTGTTCAAGAAAGAGCTTACAGTATAAAATCCGTTCCACAATTTTGCAAATACATATACATTGGGGCATATTAGGGTGGAGGGCAGTTAAAGTCCACTTGTAGCTTAAAGTAGAAATATGACCTCACATTAAAACTAAATATGTTAATTATAAGTTCACCTGGACGTACAGTGTTTTCTGTAATGTTCCACAAACATGAAGTCTGTGCTGCTTTGGCAATGATGCTACACTACTCCCAAATTGGGAGCATAGTTGTTACTGTCATGTAGCCTGTACCTGCTTGCATTGCAAAGTGATGAAAAAAATATGTCAAAGCTGATTATTAGGCCTGTAGCTTGGCAATCAGCAACTGGCCACATGTAAGACAACTATAAAGAAGGATTTGACTAATTTAGGGAATGTAAAGGAAGTATTTTGTTTACTTTATAAGGCTTGTGACTGGGTGCTTGCTCAGATCTTGTTACTTGAGCCTTGAGTTCTACTTTAAACGTTTATGACTTAGGCAAAGGTGGGGAGCTCAATTAGTGAAAAAGCATTGCTTTTGTATTCTCTTTAGTAGGAATACAGGGCTTCCCTGTGCAGCCTGCTGAAGAGTAATTGTCTATCTGCATTGGCCTGATGTACCCCATGTACAGTCAAAAATACAAATACAGAAATTGTTACCATTGCTTATTAGAGTACCTGTGTAGGCAGATTGCTAACAATAGACTGCCATTCTCAAGCACAGTGATCTGCATCTGCAGCATACTGTCAACGAATGGGAGTTTGTGGCTGAAGTGTTATTAAAGAAAAAAGAAGAATTACTTTTTAAAAAGTTGACTGCTTATGCTCACTGACTTTGAATAAGCTGTAAAAGCTTAACCCCTTCACTCCTAAGGGTAAAACAAAATCTTAAAGCCTAAGTAAAATTTTACAAGTTTGACATGTGTTAGTAAAACCGTACATATCATCACAACTACTTTTTACATCCAAGTGAATTATATCTTGTTTTATTCAGGACAAATTGGGCTTTCATTTGGTGGTAAATAATAATGGATATCTCTTGCTTTTTCTTTATTATCAAAGGAAAACTGGCCCAAAATAGTAAAAAAAAGTCTTTTCCTTTTTAATTTAGCTGTGTGTTTCTTGTTACTACGATAGCCTACCACCAAAGAGCAACCCAAAATAAATTTTCCAGCTCTTGTCGATCTCAGCGATACCATACATGTGTATGTTATTTGTGGTTTTTTACCTGTATTACAGCCCAGAAAAACCATTGATACCAATTGAAAAAAATCCTGACCTTTGACCTTGAACTTTGACCCTGACCTGTAACCAAACACTAACCCTGACACTGAACTAGATCAAACCTTGATCTAGGTATTTTTTTCTTTATTTTTTATTTTATTTTTTAATATTTATTTATTTATCTGTCTTTTTTTTTCTCTCTGCAAGGAGATAGAGAGATACAATGTATCTCTCTCCTCCATTCAGAGAGAAAAAAACCAAGGGGGGTGGGCTTCACAGTGACTGATGACTGTGATAGCCAATCAGAGGCTATCACAGAGATCATATGACCCGGAATCAGGAGTCCCGGGTCTTGATCGTTAGAACGGGACCCAGGACTCTCAGTGACACCGCGGTCTTTGAGCTGGGAGCGCGCTGTGCGGCGCGCTCCCAGCACAAAGACAGGTACGCAAATATGCGGCCCCACACAAAATATACATATTTGTGTTACATCGGCGTGAAGAGGTTAAGCTACAATTGGTCTTTAAGCTATGGCTCTGCTCTTGGGTTTTGAGTTATAACTTTGGTACCCAGAGGAAGTAAACATAAGGATTCAGCTCTGTAAAGAAAGTGCACTAACTACTGAGTTGTGCATTAAATTGTGGTATTGTTACATTTCAAACAGCTTTATTACTTTTAATACCCTAATGGTAGTCCTTTCTATTTTAAGGACTGCAAACCCATAAAGCTTTTTGATTTTACTTACAGTAGACAGTTGCCCAGGTCTAGATAAATTGGTTCAGGAATTACAGTATATAACCATGCTATGATAATAAACAGATATTGACAGGGTCATAACCCTTTAAGCTGTTAAAATATTCACCATATGCCCACACATATGGCTGTGGAAATTAGGGATTCTCCAGTTATTGCTAATTATAGAGAATATTTTTGTTGTAAATTTAAACTTTTAATGGTACTCTAATGCAGAAATGTGTTAAGTAGCCTATGGCAATTAAACAAAAACAGCTTACATTTGTCTAAACTAATAGTCAATTCATGATTGATTATTATGTGCTACTGATGTTTCTTACTTTTATAAATGCAGAACCCTGCAATTTGATGATTTAGTTTAAAATGGAGAAATTTTAAACTTTGCAAACATTATTCATTTATTTTTATGTAGCTATGGCTGTCCAGGTTTTGGACTGATCAAATAGTACTTGTTGCTGAACTATCCATCTTCAGCTGCCTATTAAGTATCCGGATAGATATTACCTTCTACTGTGTCTACAACAGTGCATCTCCAAGACTTTTCAGGACAGTGCTGTTCTTATGGATTTCAGTTGCAACCCCTCTCCCCATTGGTAATTAATTAGGCAGAAAACCACTATGTGCCCTTCTGTTGTATGGTTACCTCTGTTAGTAGTGTCCTAATGTCCTTAACTTCTGGGCTACGCCCAGCCTACCTGTCACCCCCCCCTGTCAGGTAATACTCCTCTAAAAGACAACTGAAAGGCTTTCATTGGATGGGGAAAGGCAGTTAGTGAAAAGATATCAAGCCTCTAGCAACAGCAGAAAGCTCAATTGCAGAAGTGCAGAGAGGAAGGTTTTTTTGCCCAGTAGATGTACTATGAAGCATTTTATGGTACGTTTAGCTTTAAGTGTTTAAAATGGGAGATTTCACATTGAGTCTGTCTATCAACAGCACCACAAATTGCCTTTTAGTTATGTTCCCTTCCTCTATGTGACAGTGTGATTTTGGTGATAGGTTTTTCAGGTGCCAGACATTGCCAGTGCCAGACATTGCTCTGTGAAATGAATGGTCTATCTATCACAACAAAAAAGTGACTGATAGCTAAGGAATTACATAGGGCTACATGAGTTTTGTAAATAGTTGGAGATATAAAGTAGTTGCATCTTCTGACATCATATAGTGCTTGCTTTGAGATGCATATGTTGTTTCTGTTTGCTTCGTTTAGCCACTCTGAAATATGGTATTTCTCTGTTGGAAGCACTGTATTTTATTGGTTGGACTCCACTGCACCACAAAAATTAAGCAACAGTGGGAAGAACACCCCATTAAAAGTTATTTTGTGTGGTAGAGAGCCCTTAATATTTCTCATCCATATACATTATCTCACAGAAGTGAGTACACCCCTCACATTTTTGTAAATATTTTATTTCTGTCTTTTCATGTGACAACACTGAAGAAATGACACTTTGCTACAATGTAAAGTAGTGAGTGTACAGCTTGTATAAACAGTGTAAATTTGCTGTCCCCTCAAAATAACTCAACACACAGCCATTAATGTCTAAACTGCTGGCAACAATAGAGTACACCCCTAAGTGAAAATGTCCAAATTGGGCCCAAAGTGTCAATATTTTGTGTGGCCACCATTATTTTCCAGCACTGCCTTAACTGTCTTGGGCATGAAGTTCACCAGAGCTTCACAGGTTGCCAGTGGAAAAATGTGAGGGGTGTACTCACTTCTGTGAGATACTGTAAGTGATTTACATTTTTATTAAACATTATTATTAACTCAATACAGTATACTGATTTATAGATTTAAAAAGTATAGCAAAAATAAATGTGTGATTTGTAATCAAGGTAACACTGAAGCTAATAGGACAGCATTTTTTCCATTTTTGGATGCTGTATGTCGTTTGTAGTCCTGTATTACCCTATCAGACAATTCTAAGATCAAGTGACAGTGAAAATTAGCATTTATTGCTTAACCTTTCATTTCATTTAATACAGAACTCGTCCAAATCTTCACAAGCGCCATCTCCATGGGGAGGCAATGGAAAGTAAGTGGATTTTTTTCCTTCTAAGTGGTCGTTCATAAAACTGAATTATTACTGAGTAAAATACAACATTTATGGTGGAGGAATGAAGGTCAACTCTCAGGTTATAGACAAATATATCAGAAAGTCAAAGTCAACCACCCAAAATGTCTGAAAAGTTAATGCAGGGTTGCTTTAAAATTCTTGAACAATTTGGTCCTTAAACCAAATGATAGTCATAAAACCACTGTTAATTAGATAGCAAGTACTATGTCATTTCAGAAAGTCAAAGTAAAGTTAACCTCCATAGCAGTGATTTTTTTAGCGATTGGTTCTGTAATGAAAGAACAATGAATAATTCATTGATATACGGCCAGTACTATGAAATAGAACTAAACTTAAATTGTGGTTAAAATGTGAAGATGCTTAATCAGCCAGATATCAAATGAATCAATCTTTATTTTATTGATGATATACCCATGCTTAAAAATAATCTGGAAAATTAATAGGATGCAATTATGCTCTGCTGGCTAAAAATGAATAAAAGGAAGCTAAACTAGGGCAGCTCTGGTGCAAAATATATTGAAAAGTGCCATAATTTCCATTGTTGACTAATAAATTGTAATTAAGGAACAAGTGGAAAGTTGTTACCTTATTTGTTTTTTCTGTTGTAAAAAATGAAAAAGGGCCCAGTAAATATATTTAAATATATTTAAAACTTGAGAAATTGTTTTAATGCAGTAGTAAAGTTTAAAAAAAAACCTATCCCCCTGCAAGTTTAAGTCATAATGTGCTGGTATGCATCTTTATGCATACCAGCACATTATGAGTGACTTGCCTTAAAACGAAGCCCACCGCTGACAGGGCTTCCATCGTCACCCAGTCTTTGTCCTGGGTTCCTGGGCTCTGGCTGTTTGAATGACCGAGCCATGATAATGTCACCCCCGTGCATAGGCATTGTACCTAAAGGTCAGATTATAATAAAGTTTACCTGTAAGTACACGGAATATCTCCTAAACGTGCAAACGTGACTGACAGTGCTGCTGCCCAAAGGTGTCTCTGTTGCTCCCTCTAAGACAGGAATTATGTTACTGGCTGAATCATCAGATGAAAATAAAAAAGCCTAAAAAAAGAAAACTCATGCAGCCAACACATGTAAGGAATAGTAAGCTGTACTATATAATATATTTTGTTTTTGGGTTTAACCGCTTCCCCTCCACCTTATAACAGAAATACTGCTAGAGTGGCAGGGGTGTGCAAAATCAAAATCATGTGTAGAGGGCAAACGCAAGCCATGTCCGCTCCCTGATCGCACCGCCGTTCACGGCCACGGCTACCTATCACCGGGTCCTGGACGGTGATTACTCACCGCCACCGGTGATCGCTGAGAATCTCCAACGGAGGAGAAGCCTGTATGTAAGCAATATAGATATCTCCCCTGTTAGTTCCAGCAAACTGCTTTGTATGGCTCTGCACAGCAGAGCCATACAAAGCAGTGTGCTTACAGTGAAACACAAACACAAACCCACATAGTAAAACAGCACACAGTTAACCCTTTGATCGTTACACATGTTAACCCCCTCTTGCACAGTGACATTAGTACATATGTCAGTGCTTTTTATTAGTACTGATCACTGTATTGGTGTCACTGGGGATGTCAATGACACCAAATCAGTTCCCCCCAGTGTCAGAAAGCCCGTTGCAGTCAATTCCAGTATCTATACTGCCATCTGCAAACGCCATAACTTAAATTCAATTAAACCAGTTAATTTACATGTATCTTTTTAGCAAAGACATGTAGCAGAATAAATTTTGGCCTAAATTTTTGATGAAATTTGATTTTTTTTTTCCTGGACATGTTTACTAGCAAAAAGTCAAAAGTATTGTTTTTTTCAAAATTGTTTATTTTTTTGTTTATAGCGCAAAAAATAAAAAAAACACACAGGTGATCAAATACCACCAAAAGAAAGCGCTATTTGTGGGAAAAAAGGACGTGAATGTCATTTGGGTGCAGTGTTGCATGACCGCACAATTGTCAGTTAAAGTAACGCAGTGCCGTAACGCAAAAAATGGCCTGGTCAGGAAGGGGGATAAATCCTCAGGAGGGCAAGTGGTTAAAAAGGAGCCAAACAACTATGTGATAATACATAGCTTCATATGATCACTATCCTTACATAAATGTTTTTTGGCATGATCAGTTATATTTTCAATATCAATGCCAAAATGTCACTATTTCTGCCAGGATATGCAAACGTTTGAGCACAACTGTAATATACAAATGTATGGTAGGAAGTTTCTGTGTAGATAGATCAAATGACTGCATAAACAGGCTTCTGAGAAGAAGAAAACGCTATTTGTGGGAAAAAAGGACGTGAATGTCATTTGGGTGCAGTGTTGCATAACTGCACAGTTGTTAGATAACGTAACGCAGTACCGTATCGCAAAAAATGGCCTGGTCAGGAAGAGAGGTAAATCCTCCAGAGGGCAAATTGTTAACAGGGGCGGACTGACCATTTGGAAACTCGGGCACTGCCCAAGGGCCCGGGGTCAGTAGGGGGCCCCATGAGATGCCCCTGATACCTTTTTCATAGGCTTTTTTGAGTTTGGGCAAGGACACGGGGGCCCCATGATCCCCTATTGCCCAGGGGCCCCATGAGTTGTCAGTCCGCCCCTGGTTGTTAATACTGCTTAATAGGTATATAAGTTGATCAGGTATACAGATTTGTAGCATCTGAAAACCGGTATTCCCCAGTTTATGCTGTATTGCCATATAGTACACTGAGGAATTACAAGAGTATATGTATTACTTTGCAATTTTTTGACATTTAGAGCATGTCCCCTGTATGCATCCCAGTGATGTACTTAGTTACGTGACCTGACTTTTATTTTAAAGAACAGCCATAGTCACACAGCATACACTTTAATTTTATAAAATCAGCATTTTAATAGAAATACAAGCAATAGTTACTTTTGACAATCCGATGTAAGATTATTTGAAAAATCTCCTTTCATGTTGTGAGTGCTGCCTGCTTGCTCTTTACACAACTTTCTGAATTTCCTGTATGCTTTGCAGCTTCTTCTCTGCTTTTTTTTCTTTTTTCAAATTATATAGAGTAAATATCCCATGGTACCTTGCTGCCTGCTGTCTGCAAGCAGTGACTCCTGTAATGATTGTGCCTTTTGGAACTCCTCTTCTCAGCACCTCTGTAGTTAAGAAGGCAGGCTCTGTGAATTATGTGACACAGCAGTGCTACTCACAGGGGTGAATATGAGTATGGGATTCAATGAGTGAGTTTTCAAATTTAAAGATCATTCAGATTAATAGCAGGAGGCCAGAAATAATTAAAATACAATGTGGAAAATGAATATGTGATTGCACATTTTGACCATAGATATGCTTTAAGAAACTGATACCGTTTACCTGGTATATACACTGTATTGCCAAAAGTATTGGGACACACCTCCAAATCATTCAGGTGTTCCAATTACCTCCATAGCCACAGGTGTATAAAAGTAAGCACCTAGACATGCAGACTGCTTCTACAAACATTTGTGAAAGAATGGGTCACTCTCAGGAGCTCAGTGAATTCAAGCATGGTACTGTGATAGGTTGCCACCTGTGCAATAAGTCCATCCGTGAAATTTCCTTGCTACTAAATATTTTCATGGTCAACTGTTAGTGGAAGCAACTGGGAACAACAACAACTCAGCCACGAAGTGTTAGGCCATGTAAAATTACAGAACAGGGTCAGCGCATGCTGTAGCGCACAGTGCGCAGAAGTCGCCAACTGTCTGCAGAGTTAGTCCCTTAGTTCCAGTGAAGGGAACTCTTAAGGAGTCAGCATACCAAGACATTTTGGATAATTGCATACTCCCAACTTTATGGGAACAGTTTGGGGATGGCCCCTACCTGTTCCAAAATGACTGCGCACCAGTACACAAAGCAAGGTCCATAAAGACATGGATGTGTGAGTTTGGGGTGGAGGAACTTGTCTGGACTGCAGAGAGTCCTGACTCCAACCCGATAGAACACCTTTGGGATGACTTAGACTGGAGACTGCAAGCCAGGCCTTCTTATCAGACATCAGTGCCTGACCTCACAAATGCACTTCTGGAAGAATGATCAAACATTTCCATAGACACACTCCTAAACCTTGTGGACAGTCTTCACAGAAGAGTTGAAGTTGTTATAGCTGCAAAGGGTGGGCCAACTCAATCCTGAACTATACGGACTAAGATTGGGATGCCATTAAAGTTCATGTGTGTGTAGAGGCAGGCGTCCCAATACTTTTGGCAATATAGTGTGTGTATATATATATATATAGTGGGGATCGAAAGTTTGGGCACCCCAGCCATTTTTTTGTTTTCGGTTATTTTGAAAGTGTAAATGATGGAAATAAAATCTAACTTTTGTTGACATATTATAAGAATGTCTAATCTGTAATTTGATGCCTTCTGGAGATTTTTCCATCTTTCCTTGGCTTGTTTATGCACATTAATACAAATTTTTTTAGCTGGGGTGCCCAAACTTTCGATCCCCGAAAATTCCCCACTGTGTATATATATATATATATATATATATATATATATATATAGATATATAGATATAGATATAGAACATTAAGGCTACATCAAAGGTTACAACAAAGCTGAGATTTTCAAAGTGACAACTATAACATCTCTGATGAGGGCATGCTAACAATTTTTGCCACATTTCAAGAGAGTCTGAATATTTGCCTGAGGAGGGGCTTTAAAGACAACCTGATCTTTCTAGAAGATGCTTTATCAGTTTCAAGTAACAATCAATCGAATGCATATGGAAAATATGAGCATAGATTAAAAACTTGCTGAAACCGTTCAGCTGCAGCATAAAAAGTGAAACATAGAGAACGTCTTGGCTTTCTTCAGGGAGTTGGATTATCAAGTATAATTCAAAAGCAGTTTCTACACTGCTGACATCCCGCTGTCTATGTGTATGAGAGCGAAGGCCTGTTAATATCCAGCGGGTTCTTGGCACCAGGTGATTGCTAATCACCTTGTATGGAATTAAGCGCCTCTCTGTAATCAGTATTAGTTCTGCACCAAATACACGCCTTTCATTTAATTTTTTTTTTCTTTTCTAAACGCTATGGAAAGACTCATCTGTAATTACAAACAATTTCCCATACCATTTCCGAAGGAATTGTATAGAAATGTTCGTAATTCTTGCTTGCTTTCTGCTGACAATAAGACACAGCAGGGGCCTTTTATGAGTCGCGCGATGACGGTCATGCTGGCTGTGTTTGGAGGAAATTGCCATTGTGGTTTTCCCAAAATGCTAAAATAATAGACTTTGTATTATCTGTTGAGATCTTTTTTTTTCCTGGCTACCAATAGCACTGATAGAATTTGGCAGCAGGTAGAAATTCACAATAACTATCAAAAACCCAGAGGTCTCTCTTTAACATAGAACAAGCAGAATAAAGGGAAATAAATAACCCCTTAAAGGGATTTTTTTGTTATTTCACCTTTATCAACTGCGATTAAAAATAAAATGCTAAAGCTTTTAGTATGTGAATCATCTATACACAGCCATAGAATTTGAAGAGAAACCAACAGCCTTTTCATAACATTATTGAAAAGAGGCACCTTGCTGAAATGTATAATACATGTTTATTTTGGTTCTGATTTAAAAAAAAAAAAAATAAAAGACAGAAAAGATTTCAAGAGTTCATTTGGTTACCTACATGGTTACCTACATGGATGCCGTTGGAAGCTGTTGCTGTATAAATGTAGGAGGGCACTTCAGTATCATTATTAGATTTTGGAAGAAAAGTGTTCTAAAATGCTTTCATGGTGGAAATAGGGAACGCGGTCAAGTTAATATACTAATATCTGTAATATTAAGATTAATTTTCAAAATGTATAGTATAGAATACAGTATTTAAAACAAATATGAAAATATGTGAAATAGTTTATTGCCTAGAGTTCTGAAACTGGCTTTTTTATTCATTTATTTTATATAATGCCAGCATATTATGTAATATTTAAAAAAAAAATATAGCATTAAAAACCTCTATTTCTGTTCTCTGAAGGAGCTCACAATCTAATCTTGCTGCCACACTCTTATACACTAGAGCTAATTAAAGAGGAAACCAAATACCCTTTCAGTTTTTATTTGTGAGGAAATTCAGAACATTTGGATGGAAATCATACTTAATCAGACATAGGAAATGCAAACTCAAAGCTGAATGTCTCTCTAGTGGGATTCAAATTCAGAATCCAGAATTGCAGGTCAAACCTGCCCATAATATAAATTACCACCTTTGGTTTTGTTCAGCTGCCAACAGTCTAAAGTTTTTTTCCACTCTTTGATCACTGAGACATGAGAAGCTGAATTTAAAGCAAAGTTCCACTCACGCTGTCAAAAAATAAAAAGTCAGCAGCTACAAAAATTGTAGCTGCTGACTTTTAAAAAACAGCCACTTACCTGTCCCTCGGTCCTGTGGTGTGTCCCCTGTAGCCCGTTTCACTGGCCGTCCTGTATTCCAGGAGGCCGGCATCTTCCGTGTGGGCACCCGGCTGTGATAGCTTGCGGCTTCACAGCCGGGTACCCACTGCGCATGTGCGAGTAGCGCTGTGCTTCATGAATGGTCCTGTAGTCTTCTGGGACCTGTCATGTATCCCAAAAGACTACAGGGAGAGAGGGGAGGACACCTTCCGCTTCTGATCGCCTAGGCGATCGAACCGGAAGTGGGAGCAGGAACCTGTCAAATTCGGGTACCCGCTCCCCCCTGCCCCCCAAAGGTGCCAATCCTTAATGGGGAGCGAGGGAGCAGTCCTTAAAGCGGAATTTCCCCTTTTAGGAGGAGCTCCGCTTTAATGAGGTTTAGGCTGTGCCTCAGTAAACATATCTACCTACAGTACATTTGAGAAGCTTTGCAAAATCTAGGTGCAGTGGTTTACATAAACCATAGAATAAAGTTGGTGGACTTACTGACTTTGGCACTGTTGCTCTGTGTGCTGGATAGCACCACCTGGTCAGGATTGATAAACTATTGTTGATGCTGGTGTTATGAATATTAAAAATATATTTGTTCTGTTTTGTAGCTAAACTGTGCTATGTGTCATAAGAAAGCTTGCATGTTTTATCTACTGAGTAATTTTAAAGGGGATCTCTTCATTAAATGTTGGCTAATGCAGAAAAACAGATACATCTCATTTATAAAGCAGTAGACTTGGTTAAAGCCCAACTCCGGGAAACTTGAAAATTCTCTCTTGCAGTGGGGTTGTGCTCAAATTACAAATGTTAGCTGCTCATGTAGGCCTAGAGGGCATAGAAAAGAAGATTTACTTACCCGATCATCTGTTCTGTGCTGCAAGACTAGTTCCCAAAGCGTTGTCTCCCTATGCTCCAGTGGTCTAAGGCAGCCTTTTTAAACCAGGACGCCTTCAGGTTTCTTCAGGGGTGCCTTGGCAAAAGGCCAACAAATTGCCCAATAATTGTATACAAGCCAGCTTGTCATTTAGTTATACAAAGCCAAGGGTTTTCATAGTGCACCATTACAACCTTCAGGCTGACATCATCAATTGATAAGAAGGACGTTGGGCGCCTGCATGGTATCCTTCTTTGCCCCTCTTCATCAACACTGGGGTCACATTGGCTGGGTGAGGGAGAAGAGAAACATTGGAATACTAGTCAGTTCCAATGTGCAAAGGTTTATTTGCCTTGGAAGAATAAATCACCTCTAACATTGGGTGACCTACATTTGTGGATATGTCTGCATTATGTAAAACTATAAGTTTAGGTTTTTACATTTTAGAATGGGGTGCCTCAAGATTGTGAAGAATTGCAAAGGGTGCCTTGACTGAATAAAGGTTGAAAAACACTGGTCTATGGTCCTGGCATTATCAAGACCAATGCAAGGTCCACAGCCCTGTATTGATGTGAGGATGTTGATGGACAGTCCACCACCACAGCATGAGGGAGCACTGTCTGTTGAGTATTGAGTATATAAAATAGACTAGAATAAACAAGCAATTAACCCTTATAGTGTGGGTGCAGTCCCACTGCAAAGAAGAATTTTCAAATGTCACATATTTTTAAATCTCTAAATGACTTCAGCCAAGTTCCTGATGTTGCCTCTCTGCCACTGCCAGTTCAAGCATGTTTACTCTTGGTTGTATTCTTGAAGCCAATTTTTCAGGTTCTAGGATCTTTATGCAGCATATTTTGGCATAGGACCTTCATGCTATTGAAGAGGCTTCTGGCACAGGAAGAGCTGAGTATACAGCAGAATAGGGGTTATTTAATGTTATCAGTTAGGTTAAAGTATATGTAAACCCTCACTTAAACAATCCATTCAGTTTAAAATAGAAATGAGAGGGAAAACATTTATGTATAGATATGAAAAAAGGTGAAAAACCTTTTTTCCTGTTTTATAAGTGATTACATTCCCTCTACGCTTCTTATACAGCTACGCAAAGAGAGCTTGGGGAAAAGAAACAGCAGAACACTGAACCAGTGAATGGCTGTGCAGGAGAGGGTGTGTGTGTCAGGACAGGTCTGATTACTGGAGGAGAGCACACTGAGTTCCCGGCACTTCTAGAGGACTGACCACGGTTTGTTCTTCTGCCTAGTGTAGTCAGTTTTTAATAGAAAAGGAGAGGGACTAGAGGAACACCAGGGAATTCACACAAAAGAAGTAATACAAAGAGAACACAATACATTTTCATAAAAGTATATGGTACAGCAGGCACATATCATAAATATGAAATGTTGGGTTTACGTAGCTAGTGTTAGTCTTAATTGCCTAGTATTTTAGGGGTAAGTTGTAAGAGGGTGAGGTTAAAAAATCTAAGACACACTTTAGAGGTTGGGCTGTGTTAGGGTTGTTCAGTGATAATGGGCAGGTTAACAGTTCAATTTTTGGGAAGCATGTTAAGTTTGAAGGGAGATTAAGTGTTATGGCTCCTTCTAGAGGCTTAGGCTAAAGCAGGGTTTCTCAGTCATGGTGCCATGGAACCCTAAGGATCCTCCGTAGGTTGCCAGGGGATCCTTGAGCAATGAGCAATTTCTGTCTCTCAATATAGATCCCACTGACACTGTTGATTTTTGTAGCTATTTGTAAGGGGGTAATTCTTCCCAATGACCACAAGTGTAAGGAGCATTCTCACACTAACCATCACACTAATGTATAATGAGTTTTACCTACAGTAATTTTTAGCAGGGGTTCCATGAGAAAATAATTTCAAGGGTTCTGTTGAAAAGATTGAAAAAGGCTGGGTTAAAGTTTACCTAAACTCAAAAAAATAAATATTATATATTCAAGCTTGCCTCTCCTTATATGTAGTGCCTGCATTTGTACTTCCTTTATTTTAACATGGTTATCCTGCCAGTAACACACGTCCTATCCTAGAGTGACAATAATCTGTATCCATGGTGGAGAAGTGTTGTCGCCCTAGGATAGGAAGTGTTATGACTTCATAACACCTCCCCCTCTCCTCTTCTCCCATAACTTCCGGTTGACATTGTTTAGGATAAGACAGCACTGAATTTCTAGGAGAATCAACAGGTATTTTTTCAAACTTAGTGAGGAAGATATAACAAGGTTTTCAAGCAGATATAACAAAGCTTTTAATAGTTTATTTAAGAAAGTAAATAAAAGAAGCTTTTTTATATAATTTTCATAGATATGGAAGATAAAGCTATTAGGTACAAGTTAACAATTAAGTGTATGGCAATCAGCAGGCTGTTATGTGTTAATGGCTTAATTTTATAATGATTAAATAATTCTTGTTAATTATTAATTATTGTTAAGGCGAGGTTGGGTGCCAGCGCAGGAATACTTTAGATTTTTTAATGGAGGCTGTAGACTTTTGTTCTCAGCACTGGCGACCCTATCATCGCCAGACTGCTGAATGTATTGATTTTCTCTTCTATATCACAAAACATTTATGCCATGTTTTTGTTAAATGACAACAAACCTGAACACATGAATCTGTTTTATTTCAGGAATACAGAGACCCCTTCTCCAATGTCACTGAGCCCATCTCCAATAGGATCGGCTGGGAACAGCAATGTGGCCCCAGGCTCCTCTTCTACAGGCACAGTGTCTATTCCACAGCGAATTCACCACATGGCTGCTAGTCATGTAAATATCACCAACAATGTATTGCGTAGTTATGAACACTGGGACATGGCCGACAAGCTTGCAAGAGAAAATAAAGGTGCGCCCAACACGCTCTAGTTCTTGCTGTATTGATCTAGTCAACTCATATAACTTGTTTAATGCTTTTGTAAAGATATGTACAGTTTTCCTTTTTTTTATTAGTGTTATTATTGTTTATTCACTACAAATCATGACATCTTGGAGACTAACTGTTTGCAGTAGGCTTGGGGTCTGAATGAAGAAGAAACAGTCTAGTAGGCTTTATGTTAATTCATCGCGGGCCCTTTGACTGTGCAATTTCTCTATCTCGGCTATGTTTCTTTTACAGCCAATATATGGGTAAGTTAGAATTTGTGTTGAATGAGCACAAACATATGTTACATTTAGTCCCAAATCCAAATGTCTGTGTAAGCCACCCTTTACTGAAAGTAGAGCTCCACCGGAAACTGTGGATCCAGTCTTACTGGATACCCCTATAAAAGTGTTATTTCTGTATTTTCCTCTGGAAAATCCACTAGCTTTGGGGGACCAGGTAGATGTTGAAACATGCTTGATTTTTCTGAACTGCGTGAACTTTAGAACTGTTAACATTCCCAAAGCACGACAGTGTGATATTTAAATTAGTAAAAAGTTTTAACAATAAATGCAGTAATAGGGATCGCAGAAATCATAATTGTGGTCATGCCCTTGTTTTGGCAGTGTTTAGATCCATGTCATGTATTGTCAGTTTAGTGTCAGTATTACCAATGAGAGATCGGCAAGAAATTGCATAGTCATAGACCACTCACACTGATTAGCACTGGCAGGCATTGGCTGCCAGCGCTGATCAGATGCTGGTTTTCCAGACTGGCTGCTGTACACACTGGCCAAATGTCAGTCAGTTTCTGTTGAACCGGCCCGTGTGCACCCAGGCTTAAGTCTCTTGTTCAGTATGTTTGGTATGCCTTACTATATACTGTAGTTACAGTACTATATACGGTACTTACTTTATATAGTCTTGCCAAGAAAATAATTTCTCTTAAATGTTTTTGCAAAATGTCTTACCTGGAGATCCTGTGAGTAATAGCACTGCCGGACAGGCTGACAAATCTAAGTGACTGCCTTGCAGTCAGTAGCAGCATTGTGAGCCTGCCAGGCATGCTTCTTGTGTTGGCTGTTGAGCTGCCTCATCTCTCCTGCCGACATGATAGGCAGTCCAATGGCCAACAGGACACACTAAAAAATAGGTTTAGGCTTAAATTGCACTTTAGAACTCTTAAAGCCCTTTTGGTTGTACTTCTCCTGTGGATCACAGGACTGCAGTTTGTTCTGCACTCCTGTGGCCCATTTTCAGCTGACAGCGGGCTGAAGCCCACTGTTAGCTGATGTCACCAGTCCAGGCTGGGGAAAGATCCCTGACTTCAAAGCTGGGATCCACCCCAGAGTCTTGAGCGGCACCTGACTCAGTCTCTCAGCGAGCCACTGAGAGCCTGAGCCAGCTGCTCTCTCCTCCTTCACAGCCCAGCGATCCACTGACAGTCACTACTCTCTGCTCAGAGCGGTAGTGAGAACTGAGTTCTCACACTTAGAGCCAGTGGGGGACTGATGCAGCATCAGACTGATGCTGCATCCACCTAGGTAAGTATAATTTGGTGGAAACAACAAACCCCATACTTCTCTTTTAATTGAATAAAACCAGCCAACATCATCATATAGCTCCTCTTCAAACTATACACACATCCTACTATCGATCTATCTATCTATCTATCTATCTATCTATCTATCTATCTATCTACAGTATCTATCATATTTAAACCAAGACCAAAAATGTAATATATTGCAGCTTACCAGAACTTATTTGTGATGGCTGCATATGTTTTCTATCTCAGGCTTCTTCCCTTTATTTTCACCTGGTAATCCTGTCCAAGGGTAACAAGGCTCTCTCACTGTGCTGTATCAACAGAGCAACAGCATTGCCTCCTGAGGACAAGAAATACTTTAGAACTACAGATCTCATCTAAATTCCCACTTCTCCATAACATAGAGAGATGTGTTTCTTTAGTCCACAGAAAAAGCTGGAAACATTGCCACCTGATAAGTCAGCAGAAGCAGAAAGCACAGGAAGTTATCAGCTCACTATATTTCTTGTAGAATCACAGTATTTTTGCAGTTATGAAACAGATATACAAAACACATTCAAAAGTGTACTTAGCAGACCAAAAGGGAGCAAATAATGGAAGATAATTGTCAGGATTTATATACCCTTTAATGCAAGTCATGGTACTGATGTGCAATCATATGTGGCAGCAGCCATAGTTGCATATTACACACACAAGCTGTAAATCCTCCTCAGAAATACATCACAGTGATTGTGCAATAGTAGTTTTCTCTTCCAGAGTAAAGTGGTCTGAGTCTTCTGGAACTGATTGAAAATAATGGACTCTGCACATCTCCAAAAGCCTACGTACATTTTTCAATTTGTGAGCAAATGTTTTAAAGGCTTCAAATAAGACAGCAGAATTTCTTGACTGGCAACAATTACTGAAGAGGAATGGATTACAGGTTTATCAATATTTTGCTATGTATTCAACACAGCCCCTCATTCAAAGTAATAATTATATTTGTCTTCATTAATAACTATTTAGAAAAAAAGACAAAACTGACTTAATCTAAAATTACATCTTCTTAATGACATAATTATAGGCATTATGCAGAATTGTTAAAATTCCCATGTAAACCTAGAAGCATTTCCACAGTAGGGTGTTTTTGATGTTAAAATGAAATATTATGAATCTAGTAATTAGCACAGTGTGTTATAGTGCTAAATATCTAGCTTGAAATTAATTAAAATATAATATTACAGTAAAAGAAAAGCACCTGGTAAAATATTTGTTTCAGTGTTAGAGTCTTGAATCCAGAGCTTGCACTGATTATGTTGTTACTTATTTAGTAGTATATTTTTGGGATAAAGTATTATTAGATACATTTATGTTCGCTTATAAATGTAACAGTAAAATGAAGACATGACTCCTGCCAACATTTTTGTTAGCTTTGGATAGCATGGAAAAAGTAGACGAAAGTGGAGGAGTAACCCTAAGCAATGACAGTAAGTAGAGCTTTTGGCAAAAGAGGCCCAAAATGTTGCCAAAATGCTCTTTCCCCTTTTTCCGAGCAATTGTTTTTTTTGTGCACACTGACCGCGGTAAATGCACACTGCAGTATACACTCCCAACGTACTCCCAGAATTTATAAGATGCAGAGAATTGAGTTGATTGATGGGATGATGTAACTGCAGCACGCATGCGCAGGAGTAGCATCATCACTAGCCACCCAATAGGCACAGAAAATAGATGCACATGTAGAAGAAGATGGCAGCAGTGGTGACAGGAAGTACAGACCTGTCAGAACTCAAAAGGAGCAAACCCCTGAGGTAGGTTTGCCATAATGTGCAAGTGTGCTGTGCGTGCTTGCACATAATGGCAACAGCTGCTGTGACTCATCAACATTACAGTTTCGCTTTAAACCATTCTCACAATGCTAAATCTCACAGTTGGCTAAACTGATCTTTATTTAGTAGGTGCTCATTAAAAGGACATTGTGATTTCAATACATAAAGTTTGAGGTAGGACTGACTGACCTACCAAGCATTGGAAATTAACCTTTCTAACAGAACATATCAATATTGGTTCATAACAAAAAATAGCTTGAAGCAGGTCAAATATAAGTCAGAAGGAGGTAAACTACAGGTCAAATACATCCATCAATGAACTCTAAATTATCTCAGCAGTGTTCAATATTATGTTATAGACACAAGCGCAAAGCCTCATTTCACCTAATTAATGTACAACAACCTTATTCCTACCAAATAGCTAGCACAGAGCTCCAAACATGACGTTCACATAAAAGATATAAAAAATAGATGACCTCTCCTTCGGACCCCACATCCAATCACTGGCTAAATCCTGCTGCCTCAACCTCAGCAACATTTCCAGAATTTGCCCCTTCATGACTAAGGACACCACAAGACAACTTATCCACACCTTGGTTATATCCCGCATTGATTACTGCAACTTCCTCCTCACTGGCCTACCTTTACACAAGCTATCCCCCTTCAGTCCATTATGAATGCTGCTGCTAGATTTATACACCTTACCAACCGATCAGCGACTGCTGCCACTCTCTGCCAATCCCTTTGCTGGCTTCCACTAGCCCAACATATACAATTCAAAATACTAACAACAATGTACAAAGCCATCCACAACACTGCCCCTAGCTACATCACCGACCTCATCCGCAGATATCGTCCTCTCCTCTCCTCCGAAGACATCTTGCTCTCTAGCTCCATTGTCACCTCTTTCCATGCCCACCTCCAGGACTTCTCCAGAAACTCTTCCATCCTCTGGAACTCACTACTCCAGTATGTCCAGTCAGCCCCCCTCCCTGTCTGCATTTAGGTGATCTTTGAAAACTCACTTATTCAGGGAAGTTACCCCACCTCCACCTAAGAATTGTATTTGAATCACTTCCACCAGATCATCCCCCACAGCTATCACCTTTTGTATCACCTCCCCTTCCTTTGGATTGAAAGCGCCATAAGCAGAGCCCTCCTATTCCTTCTGTATTGAACTGTATTGTAATTGCACTGTCCCCCTTTATATTTTAAAGCGCTGTGCAAACTGTTGGTGCTATATAAATCCTGTATAATAATAATAGCTGACACTGTGGCTCTGTGGCCGGTGGCATGTAAATATAGCCTTAGATTTTAAAACAAAGAATGAAAAATTTTAATTAGACTAATTTCAAACCTAAGAAGTGTATATTATCAATTCACTCTCTGAAACTTTCACAGCTATGCTGTATATTTAATTGTATCTCTACATGAGCATTTCTGTGTGCTCAACTTATGGCCAAATATCAGAAATCCATATGTTTAGTTAGTTAATTTGGACCAGATGGGTAAAATAGGTAAAATAGGAGTGGTTGTAACTTGCTTTTCTACTCAGTTGTTCCTATAGACATGTACATAACATGGCCACTCAAATCAATGTCTTTTAGCAAACAGTATTATAATTGGCAGCTTAGATCAGAAACAACCTGATCCCCATCCATCTCCATCCCTTTATAGGAGGTTATTTCTGGTCTTTGGAAAGATATGATACAATACAAAAAGGTCCAAATATGTTATAATTATTTGTCCAAAATCAGTGGGAAAATGATTAGACATGCTGACAAATTTATGAATATACAGTTGTGCTCAAATGTTTGTAACATGAGTGAGCAGGCAAAATATATTTATTTTATTTCTTATGGGATTCATATTCAACTGTAGGCTATAACAGAATGGCACAATCATAAAACAAAACATGGCAACAAGTAAACAATTGAAATGACCCCTGTTTAAAAGTCTGCATACCCCTAGTTCCTAATACTGTGTACTGCCCCCTTTAGCATCAATGACATCATACAGTCTTTTGTAATACTTGTCTATGAGACCCTGTATTCTTGCAGGTGGTATAGTTACCCATTTGTCTTGGCTAAATTCCTCTAAGTCATTCAAAGTCTTTGGTTGTCTTGCATGAACCACACGTTTGAGATCTCCCCAGAGGGGCTCAATGATATTAAGGTCAGGAGACTGTGATGGCCACTCCAGAACCTTCACCTTTGTCTGCTGTAACCACTGGAGGGTTAACTGGGCCTCGTGCTTATTCATTGTCATGCTGGAAAGTCCAAGAGCGTCCCATGCGTAGCTTTCGTGCAAATTGTCTGCCAGTATTTTCTGATAACTTGCTGCATTCATCTTGCCATCAATTGTCACAAAATTCCCTGTGGTTTTAGAGTTCACACACCCCAAAACATCAGTGAGTCACCACCATGCTTCACAGTGGGAATGGTATTCTTGTCACTGTAGGCCTTGTTGGTCCCTCTCCAAACATAGCACGTATGGTTGTGACCATAAAGCTCTATTTTTGTCCAGATTACAGTGTACCAGAAGCTGTAAGGTGTGTCAAGGTGTTGTCAGGCATATTGCAACCAGACTTTTTTCTGGTATTGATGTAGTAAAGGCTTCTTTCTGGTAACTTGCCCATGCAGCTCAGTTTTGTTCAAGTATCGTTGTATTGTTCTCTTTGAAACAACTACACACCGTCTTTTTCCAGAGCAGCCTGTATTTCTCCTAAAGTTACCTGTGGGTTTTTGTTTGTATCTCAAGTAATTCTTCTGGCAGTTCTGGCTGCAATCTTTCTTGGTCTACCTGACCTTGGCTTGGTATCAAGAGATCCCCGAATTCTCCACTTCTTAATAAGCGATTGAACAGTACTGACTGGCATATTCAAGGCTTTGGATATCTTATTATATCCTTTTCCATCTTTATAAAGTTCCATTAGCTTGTTACGCAGGTCTTTTGACAGTTCTTTTCTGCTCCCCATGGTTCAGTGCCTATCCTGCTCAGTGCATCCACGTGAGAGCTAACAAGCTCATTGACTTTTACTGTACACAGACACTAATTGCAATTTAAAAAGCCACAGAAGTGGGAAAATGACATTTAATTGCCATTTTAACTTGTGTGTCACCTTGTGTGTCTGTACCAAGGCAAGCATTCCAGGGTATGTAAACTTTTGATTAGGGCCATTTGGGTGATTTCTGTTATTATGATTTAACCGCTTCCCGGCGCTCTATAGCAGATATACTGATACAGAATGGCAGGGGTGCGCAAAATCACGTATATATACGTGATTTTGCATTTCTAGGTAGGGCCATCCGTGGCTGTCATTCACCGGGTCCAAGTGATTACTTGCTGGTGCCCGATCTCCAACGGGAAAGAGGACTGCTTTGTTTACTAACAGTCCTCCTACCTGTCGGCTCGGGCACACTGCTCTGGATGGCTGTGCACAGCACAGTCATCCAGAGCAGTGTGCTTACAGTGAAGCACCAACACACGCCCCCCCCCCCAGTAAAACACTCCCAACGCACAGTTAACCCTTTGATCACCCCTCATGTTAACCCCTTCCTGCCCAGTGCCATTAGTACAGTGTCAGTGTTTTATTTTTAGCACTGATCACTGTATTGTATAAGTAAAACATGTAGTTTTTTTCTCAAAATTGTCGGTCTTTTTTTTATCCTAGCGCAAAAAAAATAAAAAAACACAAAAAAATACCACCAAAAGAAAGCTCAATTTGTGGGAAAAAAAGGACATAAATTTAATTTGGGTGCAGCGTTGCATGACCTCACAATTGTCAGTTAAAGTAACGCAGTGCCGTAATGCAAAAAAAATGGCCTGGTCAGGAAGGGGGATAGATCCTCAGGAGGGCAAGTGGTTAAAAAGGAGCCAAACAACTATGTGATAATACATAGCTTCATATGATCACTATCCTTAAATAAAATACAGGTTTTTGGCATGATCAGTTATATTTTCAATATCAATGCCAAAATGTCACTATTTCTGACAGAATATGCATATGTTTGAGCACAACTGTAATATACAAATGTATGGTAGGAACTCTCTGTGTGGATAGATCAAATGACTGCATAAACAGGCTTCTGAGACAGCAAAACTATGAGAAAATCACTCAAGTAGCCAATTTGTGGCATCTCGTCCAGTTCAGTTTCCATCATGTGCTGCTACCTAAAATGATTATTTAATCTGTCAGGTGGCCATTGAATTGCCAGATTTAGTACTGATCCTCTCAAGAAGATTTGTATTCCTAGACTGAGTTAGACTGCCATAAAAATGGATAAAAATTGTATTGGTTGTTGGTTAACATAATTTGTCTTCTTGGATCTGGGCTTATTGGTTTGATTGCCATAGGTATGTAAAAATGCTGTCATTTAATGTCTGCTTTGGTCTTTTGATGGTTACATCAGCTGGTTGGTAACATGGAATTACTTATGCAGGTCAATATGCCACCCTAAGCCCAGTATAATAAAATGAATCATATGCCATCAATTCACGCTTCGTATTCAGTGTATCATGTAATGAAAATAAAATGTAGTTGTTATATACAAAAAACAACTAAGGGCAATAATGAAGAATAAATGTATTGTTTGTAGAGACCCATCTGCTTTGCTATTCAGCACATTTATCATAAGCAGACAGGAAACCTCTCATCTGTCACACAGTAAGCAGCCCCTCTCTTCTAAATTACACGTTAAACATAGGAAAAGTAGCAAGATATATACATCGCATTAACTCAACCTTAGCATTGTCAGACTGATGTATCCAATAATATTATACACTGACATATTATGAAGTAGTGGCTGTTATTTTCAGCTAGGTTCCTTATGGGAATTTGAACAGAATATACAGTTTACACTTTTGATAGTGTCAAACTGCACCAATGTACACATGTTGATTAAAGACTAACACGTTATGTGAGACTGTAATATAATTAAGGAGAACCTGCACTTTGCTCATTTAAGGCAATGCAATAGGTTCACTTAATATTATTATTATTAATATTATTATACAGTATTTATATAGCGCCAAAGGGTATGCTCAGCGCTGTACAGTAGCAAGGGGGACATAACATGAGACAAGACAGTAACAATACACTACACGAGGGGTTCGAAGGCCCTGCTCTTTCAAGCTTACAATATGCCACCTCTGCTTTCCTGGTTATATCTGCCTTCTTCACGTTATCCTACTGTCCATACCACTGCCAGAGTCAAGCAACAAAGCCCCATGAAATCTCAAAACTGGGCTGGTTTGTTTGTGCCTTGACAGGTTTGAAGACCCCACCCCCACAGCTGCCATGTGACAGCTCATGGGACTGTCAGTTGGCTGGTTCACTTTAAATATTATTAATATGTTACTGTACATACAAATGTTTCTGTTATTAGCAATATCTAAAAATGAAGTTTAGGAATCTTCGATTGGTTAGCATATGGTTTCAAAGCAGTGTGCTACATTTGTTGAAGTTTGCTTTCAATCTGTCTCACAAAAAATGTGTAGTTTACCGTTATGTCCATAACAACCAATCTCAATACCTGATGCTACATTGGGAAAATGAAAGAGAACGTAAATAGGCCCTGTGTGGTTAATATTATAAAATCATATACCTGATTAAAATTCTCTGACAATTGACCATACTAGAATGCCTGCCTTTCAAGAGTTTGAAAAACCTTCTCCATGTTTTATAAGTTAGACTTTTTAATACACGTGTAAGAGTTCCTAAAACTTGGTATCTTATAATAAATGCAGTTTAAGGGTGTCCGCATAGGGTGCTCAGCTAAGTTGTCTCAGGAAATAGGGCATGTTTTTCTTAGTGTAGCTTAAAAAAACACTTCTATTTATTAGCCAACCATAAAAGCTCAAGGACAAGAGAAGGCAAATCAAATGAACTGCCATTAAGGAACAAATCTCCTAAACACAGTGTTCAAAGAAAAACCTTAAACTGAGTGCATAATTTTTTCTAAATTTTAGCAGTAAAGAAACTATTGCCCAATACTCATTGTTGTATTTTAAAGAAAATACTATGTTTTTTAACATCATATAACCTTGTAATTACTCAAAAACGGAATTTTAGCAATTCATTTGGTATCACGGAAATACAGTATGTGTAATTACATGCATCTGTGTTACTAAAAAACATTTTTTGTCATTACAGAATTCTTTATTGACCTTGATACGGTAATGGAGCCGTTAACACAACACAGCACCATGACCGACTTGGTGCGCTATGTTCGACAAGGACTTCACTGGCTACGCATTGAAGCGCAGTTATTGTAGTGTCTACTCTTTTCATCATACATTTTCTGGATTCTACCTCTACCGGCAAAAAAGACAGTCGCTGGTGGAAATATACTCATGTACCGTAATTTTAGCTTTTTATAATATGTCTCTTGGAAGTGGATTTTAACATCATTGGGAATTCATAGCACATCGTAGCATTAATTGATTTAACCATTAATTTTCAAATCTTATGCCTTTCCACCTCTTGGATCTCCATACCTATGTGCTTTATAAAGCGGTACATTTTTAAAAATATTGTTTTAGTCTTCACTGCCTTTACTTAAGAACGTGATGCACTTTGTGAAGATTTGGAACAAAACCTTTTTGGTACACAAGTGTTTTGTGAAATCACTTTAATTCAGAAAATTGGATTTGGAATATTACATTTGCCGAAAGGTTACTTTCCCTAGTAATAATTTAAACAAATACTAATTAAGCCTCATACTATAAAATCTACACAATATATTTAATATTGCTGAACGACAAGAGATAAGTCAGTATTACAATAAAGCCATTTGGCCAGAATGACCATGTTTACTATGGTAGAACTCACTGAACCAAAACCAACTGGAACAGTTTGATGTTTAAATGATTTCAAATGTGTTTTTTTTTTAATATTCATTCAATTCATATCCATTTTATTGCACTGCACATTTCTTCGTGTAACTGAAAACTTTTTTTTTGGAAATCGTGAATATTAAGTTATAATATAAAATCAGCAAAATGGAAACTATAGGTATAAACTGGATTTTCACATAGGGGACAATAACGCAGATTGTATTATTTTAACATTTGCCATTAATAAGGTACAGCAATGTGCAAATTCATTAGCTTGCAGCAACCAGTCAGAAATTGTTCATTGGTCATATTACATTAGCCAGCAGAAATCCAAAATCTAATTGATTGCTTTGAACTACTGCATATCATTGTTATGTTGCAATCATTTAAACTTTGTTGTGATTCATAATCACTAATTAGAAATAATGTACAATATCACTGCCTACAACAAAGTGCTAAAACCTCAAACCCTGACTGGTTGCTGTGGGTTACTGAGCATCATTGATCAATGTAACTAATTAAAGGGCATAGCATTATCAATTGTATTAAATAAGTGTGATGCTCTTAGAAATAAATTATACTGGTTATTCAAATGGTATAAAGAAAAGGATACCTCTAAGGGACAACTAACTATTGTTTTTCAAGAATCCTTTTTTGGGTTGTAATTATGTTTAGTGTATTATTTATACTGAAAGGTCCCTAGAAGTGTAGACATTGGATGTATTAATAATTTAAAATTAATTTATTAAAACTATAATATGTGGGGTTATCAGTAGTTTGACACAAATGCACAATAATAAGATGAGCATAGATAGGGTTTGGAGCTAAATTCTATAGAAAATATTGAATTTCTATTTATTTTCACATTGGCTACCTCCCTGATGAAGCAAATTAAATTGAGTAAATTAAACCAGTGTATTCTAAAATGACCTCAGATTTCAGATTAAATACCAAATATGCTCGATCCCATACCGTCTGCTGCTGAAGATGTTAATGTAATTTAACAAGATTCTATATACGTTAGTTTATTTTTTGTTATTTTAGCCCAGCTTCAGAAACTTTTATTCCAGTTTTGGAAGGCAAAGAACCAGAGTGGGGAAGGCATAGAACCCATGTCAAGTTTGTATTTAGGTCTGTGTCTCAATTGTAGAGATGTCTTCTCCTTCCTTTTAGGATAGGAAATGGTGGGAATTATCTTCAGTGGGCACAAAGACTGCAACAATACATTTTTATTAATATAGGTAAGTTGTCTTTCTGTCCCAGTGACCACAACTCCCCTGATTTTTTGTACTACTGTCACAGGCTATTAGAAGGATAGGAAACTTGAAATCTCCCCAACAGTCATGGACAGCAATACATATTTGACAAAAATATTTACTTTTTCTAAGTCTATTAAAACATTAAAAATGTCTGGAGTTGGGCTTTAAAAACAAAAACACACACATGCAAAAGTGTTTGGGGTATTATTTTATTCCCATATACACCGTTGTCTGAATTATAAAGCTACATATTTTATTATATGGACCAAGGACAAATGCCATAAGCTAGACTTATATTGCTTGTAGGAATGTCACTATATACCTCCTAACTGTCTGCTTTGGTGAGAGATTCAAGCTTCCAAATATAGGGGCTTATTGAAGCTAAACATGGTTTACCCAAACTAAACTGGGGCCATATCTGGGCAAATCAGGGGTGTGGCTTTAGTAGTATTCCCTAACTTTGTATTTTGGACTTTTAGGAGATATATTGCTGCTAGCAAGGCACTGTTAGTACTGAATTTAACAAAGGAATGGTTCCAAGCACCAAATAATGTGAGGAACAAAGGCAATAAATATTCTGACTTAGCTCATTGTTTGCTGGAACTTTGAAAGAACAAAGGTTGAAATGATAAGTAGCAATTACTTATAGAGTGTTTCTTATAGAGAGACAGACTTGTGCATCAAATTACCTAGGGGAACCATCATAATAAGAAAAGGTTCTTGCTAAGTTAAAAAAAAATTCAGCCATAACCCTACTGTTGTCATATGTTCAAGCAGTGATAAGTAAATCAAAGCCATTCACCTTGGTAGAATGGAAGTGCACATCTTCATGTATGACTGATAAAAGCATGCTTAGTCAGTTGGATCACCACCTAAGCAATGACCACTATCCAACATCTATGAGTATTCTTTTAAGTCACTGCTTATGAATTTGAAAGGAGGTCTTTATCATGGGTATCAGTATGACAATGATGGTATTTCATGGTACTTTTCGTGACTTGGAAAATCCCATGAATTCATATGCTCTAAGCATAGCAGAGATGCAATTAATCTTTTTTACCAGAGATGGGAAGAGGTAACTGAGTGCTATATAGTACATATCTCATTTTGGTGTCCCTTAAAGCTGAACTCCAGAGAGATAAAAAAAAAAAAACCTAATAAATGCAGGTATGTAATTAGTAAAAATAATTATGTTTATTTTTAACTGCAATTTACAGCCTCTTGTAATCCCCTGTGTAGCAACACTCAGATTGAGAGAGGGAGCGCAGCACTAGGAGGAAGTTGTGCTTTGCTGCAAGCACATGTACTGGCAAGAAACATGCTAAGAGGAGAAAAAAGTACAGGCATAAGCTATCACACCCAAAACCATCTGCGTCAGCTGTGTACCTCTGTAATAGAATATAAAAACAAAACAGTTTTAAACAATGCTGGTAGTGACTGACTTATAACTATACAGTATAATCACTATAAAACCATAGTAAAAATAGTGATCAATATCAACTTTTAGTAAACATAAAAAAAGGGCGTACATAAAATACATATAAATCATAATGAATGCATATACAAAATGTGCTTCAAAATTAATGCTCATAGCCAAATTTCTGTTTATTGGACTGTTTTTAGTAAATTTAGAGCACATTTTATATATGCGGTTTACTGTGATATATATATACTTTTGTACATTAGTTTTTGAGCGCTGCTTGTTTATTATTGTTTTATAGTGGTTTATGTATATTTATAAGTCCAGTGCTGCCTGCACTGTTTAAACTTGTTTTGACTCTGCAAACATAAACTGGGGACATGAGATGACCTGGCTTTATTGTATCTAAGCAGAAAGGTCTGGTCACCAGCCTGACTTATAATCTGGAAGGGCCATATAAATCTTAGGTCTGAGTGGACAGAATTGTAATTCTGTCCACAAAATCTTTTGACAGGTATAAATACTCATGTATATGTATTTTGGCTCTGTAATTAGCTGTTTTCCTGGAGTTCAGCTTTGCATTATTAAGAAATACATTAGCATTTTAAGAAATACCCTATACATATAGTTATTGTCTTGTAGGGCCATACCTACCATGGTAAGTTACAAATCCAGCACTTTGTCAGGTATCACTGACTGACAGGTCGTATTATGTTATATTATATGGTACTGTTCACTTGTATTGGAGTTAAGTGCATTTCCTCTAATGCATTGCTGGCTACTGTAGCAACCAAAGGGGTAATCACAGCAATAGTAACATTTTCAGAGACTGTTTCTTTTCCTGTATTGGAAGTGCCTGTGCATTTAAGGAAAATATTCCATTTTCTGCTGGATAATTTAGCCATGTATATTATTTATTACACTTTTTTTAACTAAATAAGTGGAAACATGGACGACTGACATACCATTATGTTTACAAGTTTAAATGTTAATATTCTTTATTCAGGGAGTGAAAGAAAATGGTTTAAATGAAGTGATACAGATTGTGTTGTACACATCAACAGACAGTATGTATACAGCAGCCATAGGTTACTGCACAAACACAATTGCACATCAGTTGTTTCTTGCTATTACTAAATAAAGCTCATTGGTGTAATTAAAGCAGAAGTAAAGTCACCAAATGCACTTTCAATCAAATATTAGCCCATCTTACAGCATGCACACTGCAGCACCCATAAAATATTTGAAAAAGCAGTCAATGCAGCCGTGGATAAGGCAGTAAATGCACTTATACATCATCCTTTCTGTCATCTCTCTTAATACAGAACTGATGATATCTATGCACATGAGCTGTACTCTGTGCCTGGGCTATATCATTCTCCTTTGGCAGTGATAGCGGTCATTGACTAACCTCACCTCATAGATGTACAAGTGGTGCATGCACGAGCAAATTTAGACTAAATTGGGGAAATTATGATTAAAGGTAAAATGTATTAATAAAATATGCTAGGTAATAAGTAATAGTGCAATGATGTGGCTGGGTTTACTGCTGCTTTCATGAATGCAACAGATGTGCAAAATCACCCACCAAACTTTAGTTCCTGCTTCCCTGTATTTAGTATTATGCTGTTAACTGTTTTATCAGTATTTGCAATGAGGGGTCTTTTCTTGTTGTTATTTATTATCTATTATATTTATTTTAGTGTTGAGTATAAAAAAATCTTGCCAGCACATTGTCATATAAAGTTTTTTTTTTCTCC